AGGGGGGGGGAGTGTTTTACACACGGAGCTCTCAAATGCATAAGGGCATATGAGCCCGCGGGATACCCCAAACATTCTCAGTTGGTAGGAAATTCTAAATTTTGCCCGGGTGGCGGCAAAGCCTACTCTTATCGATTTTAGACCACCAAGAGATCTTTAAAGTGCTCAAGGTATTAGATCTTATCTACCATTAAAACAGGGGTGTGACTAAACGACAGCAGTAAGAAGGAGTCAAGGAGTTGCAGTGGAAAGGCTGCAGAAAGAGTCAGAAGCCCAGAGGAGAGGGGCAAAGGAGGTGTGGGGGTGGGGGCAGAGAGTGAAAACGAAAGCAGACGACAGAACATTGTTAGAAAGCAGGAAAGGATGTGAAAGGAGAAAAGTTTGGCGAAGAAAATTTTCCCGTTGCTATCCGGATTCGAACCTGGGATCTATTGAATGAAAGGTCAACACCCTAACTTCTTTTTTTGTTCTTTTTGGTAAGTGTTTTATGGCGCTAGCAACTGCATAAGGTCATATGAGCACGCGGGACAAATCACACATTTTCAGTTGATGGGAAACTTTGAATTTTTCCAGGTGGCGACCGAAGCCTAGTCATATCGATTTTAGACCACCAAGGGATCTTTGACGTGCGCAACTTGCACACAGGACCGCCGAGATTTTTTGCCCTTGTCCGAGAAGGCTGTCTCTCTGTCTCTTTCCTACCAGAAGATCACGGGTGTGGCTGAAAAACAGTTGAAAGAAGGAACCAAGGAGTGGCAGTAGAAAGGTGGCAGAAAGAGTCAGTACCCCAGAGGAGAGGGAAAGGGAGAAGGGGGCAGAAAGTGGAGACGAAAGCAGACGACAGAACATTGCTAGAGAGCAGGAAAGGAGATGACAGGAGACAATTTTAGAGAAGAAAATTTTTCGGTCGCTACCCGGATTCGAACTCGGGACCTTTGAATGAGAGGCCAATATCTTAACCTCTAGGCCACGAGAGCCCCATCTTAACTTCTAGACTACGATATATTTATAAATAATATATAGGGCCTCCAAAAGAAACATGAATTGAAAATGCAATCACCCACTCATCGCCTTTGACTACCCGCTCATGCAGCATACCAAGTAAAAGCTAAATAAATTCTGATTCATCAGACTCATTAATATTTCATTTATCTTTAAAAAAAACAACAGATATGGTCTCTCAATATTGACCTTAAAAAGTCACGTTTGGTAAAATTGTGCGAAATCAAAGGAACATAAAAGTGTGTTCGTGTGTATATTATTATAAGGCGCATCAACTTTGGTGGAATGGACATGTATTGAATATCAAGTAAAAAGAAAATATAGTTATTTCTTCAGTGAACAGCATCATTAATTTAGATGATACTTTTTAACAGATTGAAAAACAGAACAGTTACAAATACCACACAAAACGTGGACTTCACATTATATGTATTTATTGCTATAATTTTGTTTTTGTTTAAGAATCATTGGTACCGAGCAGAGCATGAAACGTTTTGCACATGGGCTGTGTTAGAATTTAGACATAATCATATGTCTGTGAGGAACAGAGGCCACGAAACTGCCAATGCTTTTTTTTGTAATCTGGAGTGGAATGAACAAAACCGCTTTCGTGAGAATCAGCTTATGGCTTGGTTTAGTGGACTACATCGTGCAAGTGCTGGAACCCTTTTTTTCGTCATTAAAGTACACATCAACATGCATATCAAAACACTTTCTCACAGGGCGAATGCCACTAGACAATTCTTGGAAAACAAAATCAAATCAACGTTGGAGTGGTCACCAATAGGTTGCCCCGATATGAATCCTACCGGTATGTGACGTCCAATGAAACAGCAGCAGAAGAAAATCGACTTTGCTCCCAATTCAGACCATTGTTTGCAACTCCCTCTGACATTTGGGATGAAATTACCAATAATTATGTCCAAAATTTATTTGACCCGATGCCTAAAAAGTTCATGCACTATATAAAACCAACGGCTCCTAAGCAAAATAATAATGCGCACATTCAATGTCAAGTCCAAGTTTCGGGTCGTAATTTGTAGTAACATGTACTCTGTTTTCCGTTTTGCTTGCAACTATCGTAATATAATATTGTTTATTGCAGAGACAAAATTGTCCGTTCATTGGATACGCATGGTATGTCCATTCCACACCGTTTCCCCGATCAAACATTAAAATAGAGCGTTCTAATGAAAAATAACCGAATTTGTACAACATAGTCAAATCAAATTCAACATAGAAAGTTCAAACATCAAAATAGAGAGAGCAAATCGATGCCCTCATGATCAGACCTCGTAAGTTCCAGAGAGATAAATATTTTCAGGAGAAGGATAAAGCTGATTTATTTTAAAGCGGCGTTTTCAAACCTCTTTAATTTCGCATAAACCACTCAAAACAATGAAACTAAATTATGGTTAATTACATTTTAAAATAAATATTGAATTGCTTATGTAATGACGCTTACGAGGTATGTTTACACTACCATGGTTGTGATCAGACCTCGTACGTGACGACTATTACGAGGTTTGATCACGGTGAAATGTTGGTAAAGTGCATACTCATAAGTGACAATATGTTCGTACGACAGGAGAACCGGCCTCTCTAGATGGTGCTCAGGACACCTTAGTGAGATCAGAGAGGTTAGGGTTTGATCCCCGGCTGGGTTATAATTAAAACCTTATAATTTGCAATCTCTTGGCTACTGCACTCTCCGCTGGAGACAAGAGAGGTGCAAGGATTGGTTGCCCTTTGCCTGAATAACTAGGCTGGATGATGCGTGTAAATTGTCTGACGCCTCATGCGCATGTTCAGAAATGCATTTTACTTACTCGTTTAACAAAGAAACTCCCTAGAGCATCTTGAGTTTAAATTTAAAAACAAAAGATTAAGTTACTTGTCAGTAATTTCAAATTAAAGAATAAAGATTATGCACTTGGAAGAACTTTGGAACCATGGCAAAGATCTCCAAAGTCACACACACACACACACACACACACACACACACACACACACACACACACACACACAAACACACAGACACACACAAACAGACAAAGAAACACACACATACGAGGATAAGTAAAATTATGATGAAACATATGAGATTGAATTTGGTGCTATTTGTAATGGCGCACATTTTGTGAATAATATACTTCGTGGGGTGTCTTCTCAAAGTGTATTAGAACAGCATTTCTGTTATGGTAACAGCAAATGTCGAAATAGATTATCAGTTTCACAATTGGCTTTAGTTTGAAGTCAATGATTCATAATGCAAACTGGCCGACAAATTCTCCCTCCCATTTGTGTCAAACGTAGCATCTCACATCCTTTGTCTCCAAGTTATCTGTTGTAAAGTTGTGCACGGACAATTTAGTTTTGTAATAAAGCGATGGAATTGTAGAAAAGGCGCCAAGAGGGCAGACTAAAGGTCAATGGCGATTACACAGATTTTTACCGTTGCTTGCTTCAGCCAGTTTCTTATTGATGCCTCTTTAAGCTTGAACTTGTGACTTTCCTTCACTGATACGTTTCCAAATTTCATCATCTACTTGTTCGCCCTTCTGGCCTACACACAGGTCTCACCGACGCGTTAACAGACATATTATTTTGTTCCTGGGAAATGTCCCTGAATGTCGAGATGGCCAAAGGCGTTTTTTTCTTGATGACAAATGGCTGTCCCACGGAAAACCGGAAAAGGTCCATGAAAGCAACAATCTTTGTCCTATTATAATAAAAATGTAGCACATCATACATCAACATGTGGTTAATTTTTCAATGTAATCACCATCCCGCTGGACGTATTTTTCCCATCGTTGGATAAGGGAGAAGATACCCTCCCTGAAGAATTTTACGTCAAGGGATTTCAACTAATCTTTCACGGCTTCCACGAGGTCTTCGTCGTCGGTGAATCGCTGTCCAGAAATATCGCGTTTCATTAGTCCAAAAAGGTGATAATCTGACAGGGCCAAGTCAGGACTATGAGGGGGGTGTGGCAGAACTTCCCAGTCTTGGGATCCAGTGTTTCATAGCGGTTGCGGTGTGTGGCGTTGCTTTGTCATGCTGCAAAATGACCCCGCTGGACAACCGCCCTGGTCTTTTTCGGCGCATTACCTCTCTCAACTTATCAAGAGTCTGGCAGTGTCTGTTAGCATTAACAGTTTTTCCTGGTTCAAGAATGTAAAAAAGAAGAACACCCTTAGAACCCCAGAAAACCGTGGCTATGGGTTTCTTCACCCATGGCTGAACTTTTTTGGGGGGGAGGTGAAGACGTGTGCTTCCAAACCATTCAATCCCTCTTCGTCTCAGGGGCCATGTGGTGTATCCAAGTCTCATCACCAGTAATAATGCTTCTCTGGAATGCTTAATCGTATTGTTGGAGGTCTCCAGATGCGTTCATGACTCCCGTGACAGCTTGGCGACAACGATTCCACAAAGTCTGAGACACTTCAACACGTTGTGTCTTGTGGTCAGCTGTCAGCTCTTTTGGGACCCATCGAGCAGAGACCTTTCGATAGTGCAGCTCATCAAACACTATCCTATGGACAGTCGACTTTGAAATGTTTAGCGATTCAGTAATTTCGCGAAATTTTAATAAGCGCCGTCTGTTTGAATGAA